TATATATATATATATATATATATATATATATATATATATATATATATATATATATGTAGAGCAGCAACACATGCACCTCTGCCTTGCAGCACCAATTATATATTTGTGTATTTTCGTTTTCTTTTTATTTAATAAAACTAAAAACAATAAAAATAAATAAAAATAAAAATAAAAATAATTTATATATACTAGGGGGGCCCCCTCTATGTAGGGCGGGGGGCCCCCTGGTGTTGTGTATGTATTTTGTTGCTTATTGTACTTTATTGTTGTTATTTTATAATTTTATTTAATTTATTTTTATTTGTTTTAATTAAACAACAAACATTTACATAAAAAAACAAAAAAAAAAACAAAAACAGGATGGAGGGGAGGAGGCAGTGGCTGCTGCGGTGTATGCTGAGGTCTGCTGCTGCAGCAGCGCAGCTTATATGTTATTTATTTTAGTTTTTATAAATTAAAAAATAAATAAAAAACAAAAGACATGCATTTAATATATACTGCTGCTGCCCCCCTATGCATGCTGTGTTTTCTTTGTTTGTATGGTTGCTCTTTGTTTGTAATAAATAAAAAAATAAGTTTATAAAAACAATAAAATAAATAAAAGCAACAATATAACTCTTCTCTTATCCTCTATAGGGTTGACCTGCAGCAGCAGCAGCAACAGCAGCAACAGCAGCAGCAGCAGCAGCAGCAGCAGCAGCAGCAGCAGCAGCAGAAATTTACACAGCGACTACTCAAAAACAACTCCAAAGCGAGGTGTATATTCATCTCCTTCTTTCTTTCTTTTCTTTTGTCTTTATTTTATTTTATTTATCTTCTGCTGCCTCTCTCCCCCTACCGCATACACAGGAGAGCTGTCGTTGCTGCTGCTGCTCCTGCTGCTGCTGCTGCTGCTGCTGCTGCTGCAGCAACTGTTATACATTAACTTTCTTTTCCTGGCGCTTCATACACTCCAACTCAACAGCTCGCTGCTGCATATACACCTCACAGCAGCAGCAGCAGCAGCAGCAGCAGCAGCAGCAGCAGCAGCAGCAGGTGGTGGCCTCTCTAGCTGGCGTCTGCTTCTGGCAAAAAAGCAGCAGCAGCAGCAGCGCAGCAGCAGCAGCGCAGCAGCAGCAGCAGCAGCAACAACAACAACAACGCAGCAGCAGCAACAGCAGCAGCTGCAACAGCAGCAACAGCAGCAGCAGCAGCAGCAGCAGCTCCTATCGGTCTTTGTCTATCATCACTCTTGTCTTCTTTGCTGCTGCTGCTGCTCCTGTACAACTGACTGACCGCTGCTGCTGCTGCTGCTGCTGCTGCTGTTGCTGCTGCTGCTGCTGCTGCTGCAGCTGGTGGTGAACTGCTGAGGTGTATACGCATACAGCCTGCAGTTGCTGCCT